AGGGGATGTGGGGGGACCCTGCTTGCCTGATTCCGCTTTCCTTGCACGTCCAGACAGCCCAGAGTTTTATGGGGGGGGGGCTTATCTCTCCCCTCTCTGCATTCCTTCCTGAGTCTTGTTTTTCAAAGCAAAGTTCACCTGCTGGAAAAGCCATTTCCTCCTGATTGCCGAGCAGTCCAGAAAAGGCACACTTGAAGTCAACAATTGTTGGAGAAGGAAAAAAACAAGAGTGATTGAGGAAGCCAAGCCCTTCCCCTGCCAGTCTGGGCCAGGGCTGAGGAACGCAGAGCTTCATCCAGCCTGGGCAATTTCACTCTGGGGAAGCCACGCAGCAGCCAGACGAGTGCCTGGATGCCCTTCTGGTGCCTTCAGGCTGATGGGAAAAATCACACCCGCATCAAACAACACCAGTTCGATTGGTACCACCTGCCACATTCATCAGTTCACTGAAGCCGGGCACCCCACAAGCAATTCCGTCAACGGACACATTGATCTAAACCAGCCTATGAACCCCTCAGAATCCAAATCAACCGCACAGCCAACCGAGATGGCACCAACCCTCAACCAGCCCATGCAAGCCCCCCAACTAGCAGTTCACCTCCCAATGACCTCATGCAACCTCATCATAACACCTATCACAAGATTCTCACTGATGACTCACACCTGACCCATCATAAGACCCTCAATTGACACCCCCACACCTGAAGCCCTTATGAACAGAAGAACATTGACACTGACGTCCCCTATGTCTGTTATACAGTAGTGGCCAAAATTGTGGAAACCTTTTGGGAAAAGTGTATTTTTCAGGTTTGATGGCTAATAACATCACTTTTGTGGGGGCATAGTACCATAAAATTATATATCAATGGAAAGACAATTTAATCAAGAATGTAATGCAACGTAGTTTGTTCAATTATCTGTACTGTATTCTATGAAAAGATATAGCCAGATAACCAGAAAAAGGAAGCACAACTTGCTTAGGTTGATATCAGGTAGCTTTCCTTCATCTGATTGTAGCCAATGAGCATGAGTGTTTAGAGAGCCAATCGGGTGTCAGTTTGTTTTGGTAATGAGCCAATCAGATCACAGTAGGATTCAGAGATTGATGTCATGTTTTGAAGCTGAGAGGAGGACATTTGTCAGTGTGTTATGTGATCGCTATCAAGTTGGTTGGGTTTTTTTTTCATATAACAAGTTTTATTAATTTTCCATTTTTACAAACCTTCAAGTATTTAAGGAAGCAACATGTTGGTTGGGTAATACATAATCCCATAACACGCTTATCCATACTTATATCAGTTTACATCATCAAAAATTTCCTGTTTCCCTTAATCATTATAACAAATTCAAATTGGTAGGTTGCTAGTTATAACTCAATCATTTAAAACATTTATAAAGAGCTTTTAGATTATATATCTCCAAATCCTGTTTTTAACTTTTGTCTGGTTTCAATTAGAGTATTTGAGTTAGCTTACTGTCCAATAATGTTTAGATTTCCGATAGCCCACGGTTCCCTTAATTCATACAAAATAGTATCATCTCTAAGATACACTTATTGTTTATTCCAAAAAATTGGGGTTTTTTTTTCCCCTTTCCTTTAGTGAGCTTGAAAAATGTAATAAAATCAAAGTCATGGTGCAAAGAGTTGACTGGTTGCCCAGAAAGCAATGTAAAATGGAATTATTAAGTGAACAAGGCTACAATTATAAAGAAATTAGAAGAAAAATGGGTGGAAACTTAGCCAAAGGTGGCATTTCTGCTGTACACTTTTCCCAAAAAGTTCCCACAATTTTGGCCACTACTGTATATTCGTTACCTAGCGTGGTAAGGAAATGTTCTGAAACCGACCCACATGCTCAGAGAAAGAACCTTCACCCTCATGCTTTCTGCTTCTGGGAAGGTTCACGTGCATCAGACCCCAGGGAAGTCGGGCTCCAGAAGTTGGGCTCACCTGGGCTGTGACAGTCACAATGTGCCCCCTCTTCCCTCCTCATCTGGGCCAGAGTTGGGGGTGAAGGTGGCTTCTCAAACCATTGTCCAGTCATAGCTCGGATTTAGAAGGGGGCTCAAGATGACCTCACAGCTGTTCTCTGGACCAGGCTCCTTGCCCGCAGTTGGCGGTTCCAGCAGATGCTTGGGTTGGGGTGCTCTTGGACCAGAAAAGCAAAGTTAAGGTAGCTAAGGGGCTGCTCCCTTCCCTTCACAGCTATTTTTACACCCCCCCAAAAAATGCAAAGTGCAGGACAGTGTGAGGGAAATGGAGAAACTCGGTCAGAAATTGCCAGCAAGCGGGAAATCCAAGCAGGAAGTGGGGGGGGGGAGGGTCCATCATAGTTTTCCCTGGGAAGGTCTTGCTTGGCTATGAGTAAATTAATTTTGCCTATGAATGATGTCAATAAAGGAGAATATTTGTAGCTGAGGCTTGAAATGAGGGGTCCTTGGTGTTCTCCAAGCTTGCTTGTTTTCTTGCAGACGTTTCATTACCCAGCTAAGCAACATCATCAGTACTATCCTGATAGGGCAAACCACTTGGATATAAACAGAGAGCAAGCCTCATTGCTTCTAGCACTGGTGATGTTACCTGGTTTGGGTAATGAAACGTCTGCAAGAAAGCAACCAAGCTCAGAGAGCACCAAGGAGTCCTCGTGCCTACAAATGCCTGTCCTGCTTAGGAAAATAAAAATAAAAATAGACGCCTGTTTTCATGGGGTTTAAATGGCAGCTGGTTGCGGGCCACCGAATTGGGCTACATTGCTGGGCACAAGCTCTACCTGTAAAGTGTGTCTTTTTTCAATATTTGTATAGTCCTTGCCTGGCTTCTCCTCCTCCTCCTCCTCCTCCTCAACCCAGCCTGAATTTAGCCACTGCAAAAGGAAGGCCTCACCCTTGCATCGCTCAGCCTCCTTGACCCTGATCAGACACAGCCCTGTTGCCTGTGCCAAAGCCGCCAGCCCCATAGAGGAGGCCACAAGCCCTCCTGTCTGCCTGCAGAGTTGGCGGCCCACCGTCCCATTACCGTCTCTGGGGGACCCCCCAGCTGTAAGTTTGGTTTCTCTTCCGTCTCTGCTCGGGGGGGGGGGGACAATGCTGTGGCTTCCTTTTCCCAGTTCACGACATGTCTCCACCTCTTTGAAGCCTCCTCTGGGTTCGCTTTTCATTCTTTGAGGGTCCAGCAAACCCAGATCTGTACAGCTTTGCTATCTTCAGACCACTCCTGAAAAGTTCAAGGAAGTAATGGGGAACAAAGGCTGCTCCGTCTTCCTTGGATTTCTTCCTCCCTCCCGGTTGGTGCTTTTCTTGATTTCCAGACCTTCCAAGCTGGTCTACTTGGTTTCCTGAGTTCTCGCTTCTCTGGGCTTCATAGCAGTCTCCTCTCCTTCTGTTCTTCAAGCGAGGTCTTTCAGGAGTGATGCAAAAGGTGACTTCAGGATTCTGGACTATTCTTGGCCTTCTCCAAACGCCAGCAGCAGCCTTCTTTTTCTGCCAGTCAAAGATGATCGTTCATTCTTTGGCTTGTTTTTTTCCCCCCCTTTCAAGTAATTGGGAAGACGTCTTTCACTATAACTCAGCTGCTTAATGTACTTCATATGTTCTTATGATGTGGGAGTCAGGATGTCTACCGAAGTAGCGAAATCTCTGAGAACGTTGGTTAGGCTTCTTTGCAGAGCGAATGCAGAGGGAATGATGGAGTGTAGGTAGATAATATGATAGGGAAGAATGAAGATACGGGAAATTGTCCCTTATTCATTTATTCCTTCATTTTTACTTTATATGTTGGAGTGCAGTGGCCCACATGGTTAGGATGCTGGGCAGAAGGTTAGCGAGCCCATGTTTGAGTTCCGAGTGTTGCTACGGGGCAGGGTGAGCTCCCGTCATTCACTTCAGCTCCTTGACAGGGAGATGAAAGGAGCCCCCATAAGCATTTTCTGGGCAATTGTGATGTCACCAACTAAACCTTAACCAGTGCCTCTGACACAAATGGGATTTTATATGTTCTTTTGGGCTGCAAGTTGCTGCTAGTTCCAGGGTGTCTGACCTGCCCGCTACACTTGTTCCAATAATCTTCATAAACTTTATCTCCAGTCCTCAGTTTCATGTATGTGGGCTGCAGAATAGTATAAATTTGGACCACAGAGTCCTCCTTGAGATGTTTCACGTCTTCAGGTTTGGGGGCCTGGAGTTGGATAGTGGGCATTTATCAATCAGATGCAAGACAAGGTGACAGAAACTTGATTATATGGGAAGAAAATCCTTTGTCTATGCATTTCCATACATACATACATGCATGCATGCATACACACACACACACACACACACACACACACACACCTATATCTATCTATACATACATACATACATACATACACACACACACACACACACACACACACACCAAGATTTGTAAATAGCCTCATTCCACTCCAGGCGGCTTCCAATTCATTGAAATAACGCAAGAGAGCAAAAATGGAAACTAGGTTAGGAAGAAGAAGCACATCACCTGATAATGAAAGTGCAGTTTCTATAATCAACAAGAATGCACTGGATGTCTATGGAGATTCTCAGTCATCCAGGTCATGGTTGTCCCAAAGGTGCTTTGTCAAAAGGCAACTGGACTTCATTTGTTTTTCCTTGAAGATGTTTCACTTCTCATCCAAGAACTGAAGACGTTATATGCATGAGAAGCAAATCATCTTCAAGGAAAAACAAAGAAAGTCCAGTTGCCTTTAGAAAAAGCACCTTTGGGACAAAGCACTGGATGACATAGCCCCAAACCAGCATCTCTTCCCCAAAGGCCATCTGGAAAATGTGTTCTTTGTGGTTCACCAAAGTGCCAGTAATGAGGGAATGACCCCCAACATGGAAGGAGCAGATATGCCAAAACTGGGATCCAGGTTTTTCTGGGGTTGAAATGAGTTTTTGAGTAGAATTACTTTCTTTTCCAAGCCTACAGACAAGTTTTCTGCTCATCACTTGTACAAATTTTATCCTCTTTCTTGCAGGCACCAAGTATAGATGAGAAAGTAGATCTTCATTTCATCGCTTTAGTGAATGTTGATGGCATTCTTTATGAACTAGGTAAGAATACTGGATGCAAGACCCTCCATGATGTGTGCTGGCTGACTTTAGTGCCATTAATTCATTTAGTGCCATTCCTTAATTCGCCTTGTCCAGGGAGAAGCAGTGACCGTTTTCAAGAGGACTTAGTTTTTCTTCCAGTGTGGCAACAATATTTCTCGTTTGAGAACCACAGCTATAAACTGTGATCATAATAGCTTTAAACAAGGAGGAACGGATAACAGGAAGATACATTCATAAATATACATGTCTCAGGGTAATGTTGCAAGATCCTAATCTGAGTCACTGGGGTCAAAAGCTTGTTCTTCCAAATTTTTGGTCCCAGTGACTGACCCAGAATGGATCTTGTAAGCTACATTGAATTCAGAAGGCTTTTTTTTTTGATGTTTGCATCTGGGTGTTTTTAATTAATGTCTTCACACTTATGAGGATGGATTCTTCAAGGACTTGAATCGTAATTCTGGCACTTCTCCTGGGGCAGCACCTCCCATCCAGTGCCAAGAAAGACCCCAGGGAGAGAGGAAGGGAGGGTGGGTCTTATGGGGGTAAGGATCCTGCTGAAGAATATCTCTCTCACATATCATGAGCTCGGGCTGCCATGTCACTCCATGCTTTCTGGGAGAATGTCTCAGAAGCCAATGAAAGGCTTTTTAAAGCAAATTTGCTTTCCTCAACACCCAGCTGTTTGCATGCTCAGTGAGAGCTTCTGCACCAAAGACAAATTCCTTCTGGTGCTCTTGGTTCCTGGGTGGAGGGGGGGGGGCTGCATTCACGAAGAAGCTTCAGCTGTGCTATAGAAAGCGGTCAGTTTGCATTTGTGGATGACTTGTTCAAATGCCATTTCCCAGAATAGACTGGGAGAGGAATCCAGAGGCCCTTGGTCAGTGAAACGGGGGTGTGGTGGGGTGCCGGATGGCTCTGTTCAGCTCGATAGCTTGTTGAATAGTCCCTCCTTTTGGAGGTTAGCCACGTAAGTAAGCTGAGCATTTGTGGCATTTTAATCTGGTTTCAGATTCCTCCATGACAGAAATATAAAAAGGGTTACCCCCATTAAGTGATTTGCAGGGCCTGAAAACAGAGACAGTCTGACTTGACATAATAGGGGCTTCTGCTGTGGTGGAAAACTGGCATCCTATCCTTGGCCACTAAATTAAGTTGGGTTGGAAAAAGCAACACCATGAGGTTCAGTTACAGCTCAGCCTATCTCTGGATTTCTCACATGGAAAGGATGGGCTTTAAAGGAAATAAGTGTCCGGCACTGGTCCTCAGGGTGACTTGGACCTGGAGATATCCTTAATCAGAATAGAGCTGAAAGGGACCTTGGAGGTCTTCTAGTCCAACCCCCTGCTCAAGCAGGAGATCCTATACCATTGCAGACAAGTGGCTATCCAGTATCTTCTTAAAGTTCTCCAGTGATGAAGCACCCACAACTTCTGGAGGCAAGCTGTTCCACTGGTTAATTGTTCTCGCTGTCAGGAAGTTTCTCCTTAATTCCAGGTTGCTTCTCTCCTTGATTAGTTTCCATCCATTGTTTCTTGCCTTGCCTCCTGGTGCTTTGGAAAATAAGTTGACCCCCTCCTCATCTTTGTGGCAGCTCTTCCAATACTGGAATTCTGCTGTCACGTCACACCTAGTCCTTCTTTTCTCTAGATTAGCCTGGGATTTTTCGGGCATTCATCCAATAAGATGCCCAAGAAATTCCAGCACTTTGGAATCACTGTATTTGGAATGCAGATAAAGATAAGGAAGAATTAGAAGACTATCTAATACCATTCAACCTTGAGGGTCCAGGATCAGTAGCGGGCTTAGAGGTCTCCATCCTTGAGTGATGGTAATTGGCAGATGGCATGACCTTATGAGATGTTTGGTTCAGGATCAGTGGGAGGCAGTCATGGAGCTGGGAAGGTAGAGCCCTTTTCTTTTCTGAGCAATGAAGAATGACTTTTCTGCATCCCAACAGATGGACGCAAACCTTTCCCGATAAACCACGGGCAGTCCAACATCGACACTTTTCTAGAGGTAGGAATTCTCCACCACTTGCAACCGTATAATAACAACAACAACCTACAAATAGAAAAACTGTGGCAAAAGCAAGCAAGGGTAGTACTAATAGTCATAGGCACTTTGGGTGCAATCCCAAAATAACTGGAGCACCACTTGAACACCATTGGCATTGACAAATTCGCTATTAGTCAATTGCAAAAGGCGGCCTTATTAGGAACTGCTTCCATCCTGCGACGAGATCTGTAATACCATCAAACATCCACATCTGCCTATCCCAGGTCCTGGGTAAGGACTCGATAGGTGGACAAAAATGCCAAATCCAGTCTGAACATCGGGCTGATTGTGCGATGATTAATAATAATAATAATAATAATAGTTGGAAGGGACCTTGGAGGTCATCTAATCCAACCCCCTGCTCTGGTAGGAAACCCTATACCAGTCATGGTGAACCTTTTAGAGACCGAGTGCCCAAAAACTGTCCCGCCCCGGCCCACCCCATTCCACTGCCCCGCCTACTCCATCCCCGCTCTGCCCCGCCCCCACCCGCCCACAGAGCCACCCACCACCTCCACGGCCTACCACAAATTGCCCAGGCAGTGCTGCAACACCATGGCAGCCACTCCCTTTGCCCGTGCCCCGGAGCATCATCTGTGCATGAGGGCATGAGGGCAGAGTCTTGTCCTTGCTGCCCGGCTGCCAAGTCCTTGGCTGCACTGCTCCACACAGGCCGCTGCCTGGGGACGGCTCTCCTCCAGGGAGCTGCTGGTGAGGAGGGGGGCATGGGGGGGAGGCGGGGCTTGGGCAACAGCATGCGTGCCCATAGAGAGGGCTCCGAGTGCCGCCTCTGACACACGTGCCATAGGTTTGCCATCACTGCAAACAGACAAATGGTTGTCCAGTGTCTTCTTAAAAACTTCCAATGTTCACAACTTCTGGAGGCAGGTTGTCCCACTGGTTAATTGCTCTCACTGTCAGGAAGTTTCTCCTCAGTTCTAGGTTGCTTCTCTCCTTGATTAGTTTCCATCCGTTACTTCTTGTCCTGCCCCTCAGACACTTTGGAGAATAGCTTGACTCCCTCTTCTTTGGGGCAGCCCCTGAGATATTGGATCACTGCTATCATGTCATCCCTGGTCCTTCTCTTCCTTAAACAATTATTATTGGGTTTCCTTTAACAAACCAGCGGGGACTCATTGCCCTCCATTTTAGAAAGACTGAATCTCCTACTCTAGAAAGACAAAGGTAGTCCTTGACTTACGACCACAGCGGCACCCAAAATTTCCCTCGCTAAGTGAGACAGTTGTTAAGTGAGTTTTGCTCAGTTTTACGACCTCCTTGCCACAGCTGTTAAGCGAACCACTGCAGTTGTGAAGTTAGTAACATGGTTGTTAAGTCAGCCTGGCTTCCCCATTGACTTTGCTTGTCAGAAGGTCGCAACAGGGGGGTCACACGACTCCAGGTAACTGCAACCGTCATAAGTATGAGTCGGTTGCCAAGCGTCTGAATTTTGATCACGTGACCGTGGGGATGCTGGAATGTCATAAGTGTGGAAAATGTTTGTCAGTCCCTTTTTTCAGTGCCCTTGCAACTTCGATCGGTCACTAAACAAATGGATGTAAGTCAAGGATTACCTGTACATAACCTTAAATATGGACACAATGCTTCTAATTTGAAGCACTGTTAATTTTTTAAAAACAAATAGATTCTTCATTGTCTTCCAAAAAAAAAAAAAATTAGGGAGAGGCAAACAGATTTAAAATTCAGTACAGTAACAGAATTTAGTACAGTGTTTCTCAACCTTGACAATTTTAAGGCATGTGGACTTCAACTCCCAGAATTCCACAACCAGCAATGCTGGCTGTGGAATTCTGGGAGTTGAAGTCCACATGCCTTAAAATTGTCAAGGTTGAGAAACACTGGTTTAATACAATGTTTCCCAACCTTTAAGACCGATGGACTTCAGCTCCCAGAATTCCCCAGGCACTGGCTTAGTATATGAAAACTACAGCTTGTTTTCAAAGGCATCTGTAGGGAATCGTGAATTTAATTATATGATTTACTGAGAGCGCCTACGGACCTAAATGCTAGTTAGCAGAGCCCCTTATGAGGCAACCTGCTACCAATAAAAACAGTTGTGTACTCAGAGAAGATGGCATTGTGTATGTGGTTATCTCTTTGTGTGTTCTCTTTAGGATGCCGTAGAAGTTTGCAAGAAATTCATGGAGCGTGATCCAGACGAATTGAGGTTCAATGCAATTGCCTTAGCAGCGGCCTAAAATCACTGTTACGTAAGGGGAAATGGCATCTAACGCACTGTCACAAAAATTATGTTTTAGCCGCAAATCAGCAACGATCAAAATTTTGATAACATGGATGTGAATTAAATTTTGGATTACGCTTTGCTTCCTGTGACCTTTTGTCCGTGTTTACATGATCAGAATTTACAGTGAGAAGCTGTTAGGAAGGCCCTGACTTTAACACAAAAACATGCAATTGGTTTACTGGAAGAGGGGTGCTGTGTACATTTAACACAACAAGACATCCCAGCTCAACTAACTGACCACCTACCCCGAGAATGTTAATTTTAGCCCCATATTGATGCTCCAGATCTTATGGGGGTGTTCCTTGTCTCAATAAAGGAGAATATTTGTAGATCAGGGCTAAAATGAGGGGTCCTTGGCGCTCCCTGAGCCAAATTCAGGGAGCACCAAGGACCCCCTCAGTTCCTTGTCTGTTACAATAGAGGTCTCCAAACATGGCAATTTTAAGACTTGTGGGCTTCAATTCCCAGAATTCCTCAGCCAGGGATTCTGGGAGGTGAAATCCAGAAGTCTTAAAAGTTGCCAAATTTAGAGACCTCTGCAAAGGAGGGGGGGGGGGAAGGGAAAGACTACTGCAAAACGAAGTTGACAGAAATATAAAGTAAGAAAAGAATAAAAGTAACATTTTAACATGGCTATAGAACAGCCACTTAGATTTTAAAAAGTAAATTCAATGGGATTTGTTGTTGTTAGTTGCGAAGTTGTGTCCGACCCATCGCGACCCCATGGACAACATTCCTCCAAGTCTTCCTATCCTCTACCATTTTCTGGAGTCCATTAAAGTTCATACCTACTGCTTCAGTGACTCCATCCAACCATCTCATTCTCTGTCGTCCCATTCTTCTCTTGCCCTCCATCTTTCCCAGCATTTGGCTCTTCTCCAGTGAGTCCTTCTCATTAGGTGGCCAAAGAACTTGAGTTTCAACTTCAGGATCTGGCCTTCTAAAGGGCAGTCAGGGTTGATCTCCTCTAGGACTGACCGGTTTGATCGCCTTGCAGTCCAGGGGACTCGCAGGAGTCTTCTCCAGCACCCTAGTTCAAAGGCCTCAATTCTTTTGCACTCAGCCTTTTAATTCTGTTGCTAAAGAGCCAATCCTAAAGCGGGAGAGGAGGAGAGTCTTCAGGCCAAGATTTTAATCTTAATTCTGGAATGGGAAAGTAGAGCCCAGCCGAGCCAATCTGTTAGCTCTCTTCCAGACTCCAAGAAACCCACAGTTCTTCATCGGCTTGCCAAGTTCTCAGTGTGTAACTCACCATCGCCTTTTCTCTAACGTTTCTAGTTTCTCTAAGGAGTAGAGTTTCAGGAATGTGTGAGAATGACTCAGGGAGGAGAGTCCGGGAAAAGAAAAACAAGGTATTTGGTTCTTGGTCACTTGGTCACTCAGCAGGACTTCTAGCCTCCTCCAGCCACTGCAAAAGACTTGGCCTGGGGTCAATCTTGTCTTTTTTGTTCAGCCTGTCTGAACACCTCTGCCAGCCGGAGGAGGCCCTGCTGGATGGCAGGCCACTGAGTGGACAGCATCAGGACCAAATTGGGAGGGGAAGTAGCTGAGTCCCCTTACAGGTAGTCCTCGACTTAAACAGTTCATTTAGTGACCATTCTAATTTACAACGGCACTGAAAAAAGCGACTTATGAAGGTTTTTTCGCACTTACGGCCGTTGCATGGTCATGGGTGATCAAAATTCAGGTGCTTAGCAACCATATTTATGACGGTTGCCGTGTCATGTGATCCCCTTTTGCAACCTTCAACAAGCAAAGTCAATGGGGAAGCCAAGTTCCACCTACTAACTGTGTTAGTAACTTAACAAATGCAGTGATTCACTTAGCAACTGTGGCAAGAAAAGTCGTGAAATGAGGCAAAACCCGCTTATTAATATATGTTTCACTTAGCGACATATAGTTTGAGCTTAATAGTGGTTGTAACCCGAGGACTACCTGTATTAGGAAAGTTGACGAATGAGCTGGTTATTTTCTGTTATGGTAGTGGCTAATCCAAGAGTAGGCAACCTTGGCTCTTTTATGACTTGTGGACTTCAACTCCCAGAATTCCTGAGCCATCCATGCTGAGGGGAAAGGGAGAGGTTTCCAAGCTGAGTCAGGCTGGCTCAGGAATTCTGGGAGTTGAAGTCCACAAGTCATAAAAGAGCCAACCCCAGCCTACCCCTGGGCTAATCTACATCACCACTTTGGGGCTCACAGGCTTCGTGTGTGTTTACTGTGGCTGGACAAAGTGTTTGAGGGAGTGGTTTTTCCAGCACACTCGGGAGGAGTGAAATATCTCTTTAATTTTAATTTAATGTTGTAGCTACTAAGATTGTTGGATGAGAAGGCACAAAAACAGCCAGGGAAGAGCTTGAAGCCTGGAAAACGGGAGTGCTGATTTACAACAGGAGTGCTGATTTACCACCAGCTAATCAAGTACTGAGGAGGGGAGGGCTGGGCAGCAGAAGCAAACAACAGCCAATGACTTAATAGCCAGCCATCAACAAATACAACCTTATCCTGGGACACTTCATTCGTGAAATGTTTTCCCTTGAAGTACTCAAGCATCAGGTGTCTGGAGATTCTCAGTCATCCAGGTCATAGTTGTTTTTTTCAAAAGGCAACTGGTCTTTCTTGGTTTTTTTCCTTTGAAAATGTTTCGCTTCTCATCCAAGAAGCTTCTTCAGTTCTAACCGAAGAAGCTTCTTGAACGAGAAGCGAAACTTTTGAAAGGAAAAAAAAAAACAGCAAGAAAGTCCAGTTGCCTTTTGAAAAAAAAGAAAAGAAAAGAACCTTCGGATGGCACATCAGGTTTTTGTGAGATTTGCCCAGTTGTTCCAGAAGCTGCTCCTCCCCCCCTCCCCATATCCCAGTGAGCCCAGGGCAGGGGTAGGCAACCTTGGGTCTTTTATGACTCGTGGACTTCAACTCCCAGAATTCCTGAGCCAGTCCTGCTGAGGGGAAAAAGAGTTTCCAAGCTGAGCCATGCTGCTCAGGAATTCTGGGAGTTGAAGTCCACGGGTCATAAAAGCCAAGGTTGCCTACCCCTGGCCCAGGGGAAAGGCCTGTATCATCAGCCTTGCAAAAGTCCAGGGAATGCTATCCTCGTCCTTCTATTCTACGTGCCAGCCATCTTTGCAAAGCACTTCCAGTTCATGCTATGCATAGCCTCAGTGATGACAAGCAGACCTATTAAAATGCAAGTGTTTCTTTGATTTGGGCTTATTGTTAGATTGCTAGTGGAAAATGAGTCTTTTTTTAATGGGTTTTCAGACGTTTGGAAACACTGATGGAATTCATTTGTCTGCACTGTGTACTGTACGGTTAAATGTGCGAAATATCCAGATGGTTGGAGAGAAGTAGGGTGTGTATGGGGGGATTGACTTACAAGAGTTCATTTATTGACCGTTCAAAGTTACGTCCCTGAAAAAAGTGACTTATGACCGTTTTTCACACTGGTGACCGCTGCAGCATGTGATCAAAATTCAGATGGTTGGCAACTGACTCGTATTTGTGATGGTTGCAGCGTCCCCCGGGGTCACGTGATCCCCTTTTGCAACCTTCTGATAAGCAAATCAGTGGGGGAATCAACAACCGCATTGGTAACTTAACAAAATGCAATGATTCACTCAACAGCTGTGGCGAGAAAAGTCGTAAAATGGACACTTAATAAATGTTTCGCTCAGCAATGTAAATTTTGGGCTCAGTTGTGGGCGTAACTTGAGGACTACCTGTATCTGTTAGCTGAAACATTTGTGTGGACATCTCTGAAGAGGGAAGGTCACCCGAGGTCATCCAAATATCAAATCTCCCCGCTGACATCTCCCTGGTTGGACTTTCCAGGAGAACAATAGTTGTGATTGATATGGACACAGTCAACAAACGCCTTCCTTTCTGTCGCACAAAGGCTGCACAAAGGCTGCCTTCTCCCATGTGGGGACAAAGCCGCCATCTCTGAGTCAGTCGGGTGATGGTGTGGACCATCTAAGCTTACGTGAATATGGAAGCAGGCCTTACCCTGTTGCCTTCATGCTGACAGGGAAATGACTTTCCAGGATGGGTTATGTAGTGTTGGTCTAAAGCAGGGGTGGGGAATCTTGGCTCTTTTATGACTTGTAGACTTCAACTCCCAGAATTTCTGAGCCAGCCTGGCACAGCATGGAAACCTCTCCCTTTCCCCTCACCATGGCTGGCTCAGGAATTCTGGGAGTTGAAGTCCACAAATCATAAAAGAGCCAAGGTTGAGGACCTCCCTGCTCTAAAGTTTACAATAATCAAGTCTCTGCCAATTCCTGAGATTGTATTCTGCGACTTAATGACATTACAATTCTTATTTCCTCTTAGCACGGCCCTTAAGCCCTTTGTAAACCTTTTGTAGTGATGAAATGAAGCATGAAATAATGGAGTAGGCTCCTGATCAGCATCTTGACACGCTCAAGAAACAGACTTGAATGCTCTAAATTAATTGGGGAGTTCCAAAGAAAGCTGCTTTGTTGTTGTTGAAAAAGAATAAACGAACACTGCTAGGGCTATAAAATACACGCAGTCCTCAACTTACAGCCACAGTAGAGCACCAAATTTTCGTTGTTAAGTGAGAGATTGGTTAAGTGTGTTTGGCCCCATTTTAAGACTTTTCTTGCCAGAGTTGTTAAGGGAATCACTGAAGGTGTTAAATTGATGACACGGGTTAAGTGGATCTGGCGTTCCCCGCTGATTTTGCTTGTCAGATCATGTGACCCCGGGACACTGCAACAATCATAAATATGAGTCAGTTGTAAAGCAGCCGAATTTTGATCACATGACCATGGGGATGCTGCCACGGTCGTAAGTGTGAAAAATGGTCATAACTCCCTTTTTTCAAGGCTATTGTAACTTTAAACAGTCACTAAACAAACTGTTGTAAGTCAAGGACTACTTGTATCTTGTTCCTGAGATTGCATTCTGCAACTTAAATGACATAATTCCTACTTCCCCTTAGCCTGATCCTTAAACCATGTTATAAACCTTTTGTAGAGAGGAAAGGTGCATGAATTAATGGAACAGGTTTCTGCTCAGAATCTTGACACGCAGAAACAGCCTTCAATGCTCTAGATAATTGGGGTTTTCTAAAGAAAGCTTTTCTTTTGAAAAAACAAAATGCTGGTAGGGCTATAAAATAACAAACAGATGCATAACATTCCTCTCTGTAAATACATTTGTGGTAGGGATATTGGATGGACCGCCCTGTGCTATTAATCTATACTGCAACCTAATAGGAATATCTTACTATGTTTTTTTTTTTTAAAGAGCAGTTGCATTTGATACATTATTATTGAGTAAATCACAACAGGCCAATATACTAAGCCATCAGGTCTGTTGCATAAGCTATGATGGATGGAGTTGGGGGGGGGGGCTCAGCCAAAGCAAATTGGGACTTTGTAGTACCCGGGTCAGCAAAGAGGACTGCTGGGGTTTTCCTACCTCTTCAGTAAGCGCATTCCTAATTCTTTGGAAGCCTCCTTCAGGCAGGAAGTGGCTTGTGGTGTGCAGACGTGGTGCAGAATAAATCGCATCTGTAGCCCACAAGCTGCGTTCCAGATTTGCCTCTGGAAGAAAACTCGAGTTCACAGCTGGAGGGCAGAAGAGAAGAATTTGGGTTTTGCAAAGCCCCAGTCTAGAGCCAGTTTGGTCTAGCGCACGGGTCTTCAAACTTGGCCCTTTTATGACTTGTGGACTTCAACTCCCAGAATTCCTCAGCACAGGCACACTGGCTGGGGAATTCTGGGAGTTGAAGTCCACAAGTCATTAAAGGGCCAAGCTTGAAGACCCATAGTCTAGTGCAGGGGTAGAAACCAAGAGATGGGAGTTCTAGTCCCGCCTTAGACATGAAAGCCAGTTGGGTGATCTTGAGTCAGTCACTCTCTCAGCCCAATAGGATTGCAGTGGCTGCAATAGGTGGTGGAAAGTATATTGGATATGTTTGCTACCTTGAGTTGTATGTGAGGGCTTCTTGATGCCCTCTGAGCTTGGTTGTTTTCTTGCAGATGTTTCATTACCCAAACTAGGTCACATCAAACTTGGCCCTTTTATGACTGGTGGACTTCAACTCCCAGAATTTCTCAGCCAGCATGCCTGGCTGAGGAATTCTGGGAGTTGAAGTCCACAAGTCATAAAAGAGCCAAGGTTCCCCACTCCTGCTTTAGACCAACACTACATAATCCATCCTGGAAAGCCATTTCCCTGTCAGCATGAAGGAAACAAGGACCCCTCATTTCAACCCTGAGCTACAAATATTCTCCCTTTATGAGTTGTATGTGTATTATGCTTGGATGAAAGAATCAATCTGTCTATCAATGTCCCCAGTGCTTATCAGGATTCATGTCCTGACCAGCCACTCACGGTTTGGGGAATGGCGCTGGGACATAGAGCATAGAATAACAAGAGTTGGAAGGGATCTGGGAGGTCTTCTAGTCCACCCCTTGCTCGAGCAAGAGATCCTAAAGCAGGCACGATTGCTCCCGGAGGGGAGTTTATCCCAAAGTACACAGCTAAATGTCTATGGAGATTCTCAACCATCCAGGTCATGGTTGTCCCACAGGTGCTTTTTCAGAAGGCAAGTGGACTTCCTTTGTGTTTCTTTGAAGGCCTTTCCCTTCCCATCCAAGGAGCTTCTTTGGCTCTGACCACATGGTGGGCAACGGAAGGATTTATATTCCTGGCAGACAGCTGGTCATTTGCACGAGGACCCTGAGGACACAGGTAAACCTCCAAGTGGCCCCAACGATTCCCCTAAAACAGTGATGGCGAACCTTTTAGAGACCGAGTGCCCAAACTGCAACCCAAAACCCACTTATTTATCGCCGGATGCCAGGTGGGTGTGGCTGGGGTGGTCATGGCAGATTGGGTGGGTGTGGCCAAATTGGGCATGTTGATGTTGCTCATGGGGAGGGATGCCTGTGGGGGCCGGGCAGGGCTGGGGGAGATCCAGGGGGTCTCTGGCAGGTGGGGTGATGGGCAGGAGGCTCGCCCTGCGGGGTGAGGCGAGGCAAGGCGAGGCAAGGCAGGGCGGGGGTGCCATTGTCACAGGGCAAGGGGAGGCAGGAGTGGGGCAGCTGCTGCCTGACACCGTCAGCCCCTCCACACAGAGGCCAGCGAGCGCATGGGTGCTGGGATGCATCTGACTATGTGGGACCTCGGCGAGTTAGTGGGCGGCTAGTTGAAGAGGGATGGTTGCCATCTCCGGGGCATGATGCACGTGCCCACAGAGAGGGCTCTGAGTGCCGCCTCTGGCACGCGTGCCATAGGTTCGCCACCACTGCCCTAAAACAGTGTTTCCCAAACTTGACAATTTTAAGACATGAGGACTTCAACTCCCAGAATTCCACAGCCAGCGTTGCTGGCTGTGGAATTCTGGGAGTTGAAGTCCACATGCCTTAAAATTGTCAAGTTTGGGAAACACTGCCCTAAAAGAAGGCAAAGGACCAATATACATCCTTCCATTCCCCACCATCCAGTGAGAGCCGAAGAAGTCGCTTGGACGGAAAGCGAAACGTCTTCAAAGTCAAACAAAGAAAGTCCAGTTGCCTCCTTGGGGGGGGGGGGAAGCACCTTTGGGTCTCGGAGGGGCGCGCGCACCTAGCTGCCCAAGGCCGACCGTCCCGCCGAGAGAGGGCGCGCTCACAGCGCAGAGGGGAAGCGTCTGCCGCGCCCTCACCTGCCGCCAGGTGGAAGCAGGCGCGGGGACGGAGGGCTGGAGGGAGGGGGGGGGGGCGCGCCTGGATGCTCCGCCGCGGTCCCGGACGGGACGGGGCGGAGCCGGCGAGGCAAGCAAGCGCGCCGACAGCCGAGCTCGGCTTCACTCGGCGCTGCCGGCTTGGCTCGCGCGGAGCGGTGGCTGGCTGGGACGCCGAGCGCTGCCCGCTCCCTGCAACCGACGTCGAGGCAAGCGGACGACGGACGGACGGACGGACGGGGACCCCGGCATCCCCCGGAGCTCCAGGTTGCAACTCCCCAGTCCGGCGTCCCCTTTGGGAGGTCCCGGGCGCCCTGCAGGCTCCGCTCTCTCCGCCTCTCCACCCCGCAGCCTCGACTATGGACGGCCGAGAGGACAGGCGCGCAGCCTTCGTCGAAGCCCGCCGCTGGGTCGAGGTAAGACGCCGGGTGGGAAGGAAGCCGGGCGCTTAAGCGCGGGAGAACCCTCGAGGGCAGCGCAGCGGCGGAGCTGGGGACGGGGGGGCCTCTTAGGAGCCTCTTCCCACCCCGTGGCTGTCGCGGGGGGGGGATGCTGACCTCGGCATGTGGTGCTTCCCTTGGCCTCCCGCTTCTCCCCCCCCCCCAGGGCTTTTAACGGCTCCCCCGGCCGTCTGTGCGAGGAGCTGCTGGCGCTGCTGCTTCTCTTGGTGGGAATCCTGACTTCTCTTCAGCTTCTCCTTCGTGTCTCCCCAGCCCCGGGGCCGTTTTGCTGCCTACCTACCCTGTGCAACCTCTGAGTAGCTCTGTGCAGGCAACATTGCCCCGCTCAGGACAGAGGGGGAAGCTGGACCCTTCTGACTGAGAGGTCCTGGGAGGAAAGCCGCCTCCTTGGGAAGCCAGCAAAAAGTCTAAGAGAGGAGTGAGCAGGGAGCTACTCCCTCCCTGAAAGCCTCTTGTAACGTACCCCAAAGCTTCTGACTGGCTTCTGGCTTCTTTCCCAGAGAACAGCCAATGATGGACATGGATCCTTCTTTGTAGGCAGGAGTGGCTTGTCCCCTACTATGCCAAAAACCCTACAAAGTCCTGAGGAAGTTTAGGAGGGGGGGGGCATTTGTGTGTCTCCGGAGCCTTTGCCCGAAAAGGCTGAACTTTTCTCTCCTGAGCAATAAAGAGCCGGAGGGAAGGGGTGGGGCAGGGCCCATAGTAGCTGCCTTTAGGCTCTCTCAGCAGGCAGGTCTTTTAGCCCTCTGCTCAGAAATCTACCCAACAAGCTTCAGTTACTTATTTATTCCGAAGATTTATACGGCTGCCCACTCATTCTCTGCCACTCTGGGTGGCTTACAAACAACAAAAAGCCCAACACAGGTAGTCCTCAACTTAACGACCACATTTTTCTTTATTTTCAAATTTTATTTATAATACAGTTAAAAACAAACAAACATTGGATTTAACGTGACATTCCAGTATATACATTCTTATCAGATTATTCCACTTTTTACAATCAATTCTTCATCTCTACATATACATCTAAGTTTTATATACAATACTTGTTCTAAAATAACATATATTTCTATCTTAACCTTCGTCTTTAATCCCGACCGTCCTCTTCAAATTCCTCCAGCGGTAAAATTTATCCCAGGTTTCATAATAAACTGATCCACATTTATCTTTTAATATCATTGTGAGCCTGTCCATTTCTGCGCATGCTAATATTTTCTGTATTAACTCTTCCTCTGTGGGAATTTCCTTGCTCTTCCATTTTTGCGCTAAAGCAAGCCTAGCTGCAGTCAGGATGTGTAGCAGCAGGTAGATTGTTCCCTTGTCATATTTTTCTGTCGTTATTCCCAACAAGAAGAGTTCAGTTTTAACTCTAAGTCCAGTGAACTTAATGACCACAATTGACCCCAAAATTTCTGGTTGCAGATCCCTTTTGGGCAGTGCTACTGTAACTTTGAAAAGAGTCACTCAATGACCTGTTAAGCGAGACGTGGGTTAAGACGGTGTTGCTCCATTGTACAACCTTTCTCGCCTCGGTTGCTCAGTGAATCACTGCAGTGGCTAAGTGAGGAACCTGGTTGTTAAGCAAAGCTGGCTCCCTCCCTTGAACTTTGCTTGCCAGAAGGTCACAAAAGGGGCTCGTGTAACCGTGGGGCATAGCAAGGGTCATAAATATGAACCAGTTGCCAAGCGTCCGAATTTTGATCATGTGACTCTGGGGGGGCAGATGCTGCAATGGTTCTAAGTGTGAAAAATGGTCATAAGTCCCTTTTTCAGTGCCATTGAAGGGTCACTAAATGAACTGTTGTAAGTCAAGGACTACCTGTATACAAGAATAAAGAAGGATTAAAACCCCCCCCCATTCTCTTGGTGACAAAACACAATCAAACAAGCCAGCTTGATGGGCTCCCTTCTTCTTTGGGTTCCCCAGGCCCATTAGCAGAACCAGGGCTTCAGGGCTTTGCCAAAGAGTGTCAAGGGTGGGAACCAGTCTAAATCTCTACAGGGATGATGCTCCAAAGGGAGGGAGTCACCACGGAGAAGGCCCTTCTTCTGAACCCCACCTTAGGAGATGGGATTGGCAGCATTTCTTTCCTCCCTGCTCCAGTGGGTGGTGTGGATATAACCGGAAGAGATGGTCTCTCAGATAACTCAATCCCAACAAGTTGTCCTGTTGAGGTGACGGAGTGACATCTGTAGTTGATGCTTGATGGAGAACCCTTTGGGAATCGGGAGGGGCCCCTTGGAACTGCCTGATTCACAAGGGGTCCAGTTTGAGAGAAGCAAATGGCTTCCGTTTCACCACAAGCATCGTGGTCTTCGGGCTTCCGGCCTCCTCATCTCATCTCACTGAGTCTTGAACAAGATTATCATGAACTTTGGAAGTTACAGGGTGCATTTTGTTAGACTTCTGACAGAAAAATAGATCTGAAGATATTTTCTCTAGGGTTTCTTTTTTTTTCTTTTTCGCCTGAGAAGTGGATCTTCTGGAATTTTAAGTGCAGCTCTTGTCCCTTAGCCTGTTTTGGCAAGCCAAGGTCTCAACGCGGAGACTTTGAACTAAGTTTATATTTATGGTCTCTGGCTGGGAAGCACAGATCCAGGCTTCCTACGCTGCTGCTGCCGCTGCCGCAGGTGTGCTGGGACCCAGACTGTGCCATTAAATTCCAATCACGGCCAGTATTTCCAAGAGGAAGTGGCAGCTTCCTGGATATTGTTTTGGCCTGAGGTGAAAACTTTTCTGGACAAAGGTTGGCATTTCCCAAGGGCTGCTGAGGGGGAATCCCACCCTTTTGCTTTTAACCTGTGACTGGATTCCAGAGAGAGGCTTGTTGGAGCCAACTTCTTAAATGGCTCTCCTGTAATCCTCTAATGGCTCTCCTGTAATCAGGGATCTGTTGAGATTGCAAGTAACAGAATGTGGGAAACCGGACTGAATCAGGATTGGAATAGAGCTGGAAGGGGCCTTAGAGGTCTTCTAGTCCAACCCCTTCTCAAGCAGGAGACCCTATACCATTTCAGACAAGTGGCCATCCAGTCTCCTCTTAAAAACCTCCAGTGATGGAGCACCCACAACTTCTGAAGGCAAGCTCTTCCACTGGTTAATTGTCCTCACTGTTAGGAAGTTTCTCCTTAATTCCAGGTTGCTTCTCTCCTTGATTAGTTTCCCTCCATTGTTTCTTGTCTTGCCTTCTGGTGCTTTGGAAAATTAGCTGACCATCTCTTCTTTGTGACAGCCCCTCAAATACTGAAATACTGCTATCATGTCCCCTTACCAGGGGGAAGGCAACCTTGGCTCTTTTATGACTCGTGGACTTTATAACTCCCAGAATTCCTAAGCCAGCATGGGGGAACTATGGCCCCCTCATGACTTGTGGACTTCAACTCCCAGAATTCCTGAGCCAGCGTGGCTCAGCCTGGAAACCTCTCCCTTTCCCCTCAGCATGGCTGGCTCAGGAATTCTGGGAGTTGAAGTCCACGAGTCATAAAAGAGCCAAAGTTGCCTACCCCCGGCCTAGTCCTTCTTTTCTCTAGACTAGCTATAGCCAAATCCTGCAACTGTTCTTCATATGTTTTAGTCTCCAGGCCTTTGATCATCTTAGTGATTGTGGGAAGCTGAGCTACAACTTCTCCAGAGAATACCAGAGATAATTGTCTTCCAAGCAAGTGGCACAAAACATAGTTTATCGCAGTCATTTCGGACTGGCACTTGGTTAATCTTTCGTTAAACTTACTGAAACTTAACAGTTATCCTCAGAAATCAGCCAGTAATGAAAACCAGCTCTTGTTTCTGAGAGCAGGTAATTGGATGTCTCGGTATAAAACTCTCTCCTTATTTTTCCGCTGATACAAACTTGTCTTCAGTTTTAAAGGATCGGTTTATCCATCGCGGCTAATGCCTCTTAATAGGCTTATTCTCTGTAAATCTTTTCCCACCTTGTAGAATTCACCAGAACGACTGCTGCGCCTTACAGCACGTTCCGTGATTTTTCTCTTTAAAGGAGAATATTTGTAGCTCAGGGTGAAATGAGGGGTCCTTGGTGCTCTCTGAGCTTGGTTGTTTTCCTGAAGACGTCCCATTACCCAAACTAGGTAACCTCATCAGTGCTAGTTGGGTTGGGTAATGAAATGTTTGTGAGAAAACAATCAAGCTCAGAGGCCACCAAGGACCTCTCGATTTGAAGATTATGAACCCTTTTCTAAAAAGCAAAAGGGCTTCAGACTTTTCATCCTGGGACTTTCCCCGTGCATTGGAGAAGTTTTTAGAGAAAGTCACCTAAGATGGCAGTGGGAATGCCCAAGAAATTTAATGATGTTCTTAGTTGCGAAATGGTGTCCGACCCATTGCGACCCCATGGACAACGTTCCTCTACCCTCTTCTGGAGTCCATTTAAGCTCACGCCTCCTGCTTCAGTGACTCCATCCAGCCACCTCATTCTCTGTTGTCCCCTTCTTCTATTGCCCTCCATCTTTCCCAGCATTAGGCTCTTCTCCAGTGAGTCCTTCCTTCTCATTAGGTGGCCAAAGTACTTGAGTTTCAACTTCAGGATCTGGCCTTCTAAAGAGCAGTCAGGGTTGATCTCTTCTAGGACTGACCAGTTTGATCTCTTTGCAGTCCAGGGGACTCGCAGGAGTCTTCTCCAGCACCATAGTTCAAAGGCCTCAATTCTTTGGCACTCAGCCTTTCTTATGCTCCAACTTTCACAGACATTTAATGGGGGAGCCGTCTAAATGTGGGAAGCAGCGGAACTTAAATGAAACATGGGGATACTGATGCTAAGGAGGAAACCAGGCTTGGACAGGGTTGTCCTCCCCTGAAAAACCTGGCTTGTAGCCAGAAAAAGTCCCTTTGATCCTGATTTGCCCTATGTGGGTGGTAGCTGGACTGAGATCTGCCTTTGCACAATTGTGCCTCGTGCATCAGCCATCGCCGTTCAAGATCGTTGAACTTGGCAGAG